TCAATATTTGATATGCATTGTGCATTCAAACTTAAAATTATTAATTAATATGATTGATATTTCTTCTGGGAATGATCAATTTAAACAAATATTGTTTATTTTGATATTTTGAAACTATTATTCATATTGTTATTCAGAATAATAGTTATCAATATTTGATATGCATTGTGCATTCAAACTTAAGATTATTAATTAATATGATTGATATTTCTTTTGGGAATGATCAATTTAAAGAAATATTGTTTATTTTGATATTTTGAAATTATTATTCATATTATCATCCAGAATAATAGTTATCAATATTTGATATGCATTGTGCATTCAAACTTAAAATTATTAATTAATATGATTGATATTTCCTTTGTGAAGTAACGAATGATCAATTTAAAGAAATATTATTTATTTTGATACTTTGAAACTACTATTCATATTATCATCAAGAATAGTAGTTATCAATATTTGATATGCATTGTGCATTCAAACTTAAAATTATTAATTAATATGATTGATATTTCCTTTGTGAAGTAACGAATGATCAATTTAAAGAAATATTATTTATTTTGATACTTTGAAACTACTATTCATATTATCATCAAGAATAGTAGTTATCAATATTTGATATGCATTGTGCATTCAAACTTAAAATTATTAATTAATATGATTGATATTTCCTTTGTGAAGTAACGAATGGTCAATTTAAAGAAATATTATTTATTTTGATACTTTGAAATTCAAACAATTTGCTCGAATCATTAAAACAATAAAACTCTGTTCCTTTTTTATCATAAAAGAATAGCACAAAACTACATATTGTCGAAAAAGACTGGCGTAAAATTCATATCGATTTCCTATCCATTGTCGAAACCAGTGAAACACGCATCTCCCAAGGGTAAGCACTTAACACAATTACCGTATTCGGCCCGCAACGGGTGTTTAAACTCCTATCGGAATTTGCACCGTGCCAAATTACACCGTCGCGTGCAACAGTCGCCAAACTCACTTTCACACGCGGTCAAAAGCGGCGCGTTGCATGAACGGGAACAAGAGAGGTGTGTAGCGGATGATTTGAATTTCTCCCTGAGCTTCGTTCGATTCAACGAGGATCTGTCTATCTAATGATGCAATTACGTACGATTGTGTACGAAATATATTCCAAGATCTTTTCTGTAAACTTGCCATTTTAAATCTTATCACAATATTGTGTCAAGGTACTATTAAATTTACTATAAAAAATAGAATCCATATGAGAAAAATTGAAATCTATAATATGAATGTTACAAAAATAAAAATTCTATGATGCGATGATATTAATATTTAAAATCTTTTTCGAACTGCATTGAATAAGCATATGTATAACAATTAACAATATATGAACTATCAACTAGCTAATCTTATACTATTGATCCATTTCATATCAAATAAATTTAATCGAAAATTATTTCAAAAAATATATTCAATTCAAAAAAATCTGTCATAGATTTATCCTAATTAAAATCGTGTTTATTATCAAATTATTACAACAATTTCTTTACTAATTAAATTTCGCTTTATGTTCCAGGAATGCCGGGCAAAAAGAACACGATAACGTACCAATGCTGTCCGGAGCCTTACGTCGACGTCACATTCACCATACAGATCCGTAGAAGGACCCTATACTATTTTTTCAACCTGATCGTGCCGTGCGTGCTGATATCGAGCATGGCCCTCCTGGGATTCACCCTTCCGCCAGATTCCGGGGAGAAGCTCACCTTAGGTAACGTAACTCGTAGCATGCCTTGCCTGCCAAGTATCACACCAGCCAAACAATAATACACCTTGTTTCTCTCTTTTTTTTTTTCTTTTCTTTTTTAGTTTTCTATTCTTCCGTTGATTCTTTTTCATGAATTGTCACATATATACACACGATATGTATACTCTGTCTGTCTATCTCTATCTATCTCTCTTTCTATATCTATCTATCTCTCTTTGTATATGTATGTATGTATTACACATACACTTGGAGTCTTGCGACTGTTTGATTGATTTAGTCGGATTATGTTTCTACGATATATTTTATCACGTTGACCACCTATCTATCTATCGCCACTGAAACGCCATCGAGCTGTATACCGCGTTTCTTTCGCGTTCCGTCACGGAAAAGTATTTGGAATTTCTTTTTCTTTTTTTTTTTTTTTTTCCTTTTTAGGGATTAAATCGAAATCGATCGTCGATGTACGATTCGTATGGCCGGACGACATTGCGAATATATAATTACACGTTTTCGACGTCTCTCCTTTTAATTATTCGCGCTTCCAACGATTCCTCCGTGTCTCTTATCCGCTAAGAGTTAGGCGACAGTGGAATTTGGATAGATTTGGATTGAGAGATATGATATCAAAATTGTCAGTACGTCCGTCAGATATATTTATGGATTTTTTGGTTTGTGATCGTTTTGAAAAATTTAAACGTAACATTGGCAAAAGAAAATTTAATTTTGCGATAAATATTTATTTGAATATTTTTTTCCCCCCTCCCCAAAAATATGGACAATGACAATTTTTGATACTGTATATACTTCTCGACGAGATTTTTTTTAATCTCAAAAGGAAAACAGGTGATACTGAAATATCATTCTTCGATCCTTGTCTTCCTCGATCAGAATCAGGCGGCGTCGAGAATTATCGATTCTGCGTAACATCTGGTTCGTTTCATCAATCATTTGTGTTTTAATGAGATCGACCTGGTATTGAGCTTCCTCGATCTTCGACCCTGGTTTGATTAACGCTTCGAGATAATTGCTTTTGTTCGGACGGTGAAAATTATTATTCTTCTCGATTATGAATGGAAATATTGCTTCGTGTTATAGAACGTATTCACGGTAGTTGTGTATAATAGTTTCGTTTAGGTCGTCTAATCTATTTGCAGATTTATTTTAAGACTCTTTGTCGCGCTTTGTGTTTTTCGATGAAACTCGAAAATTTAAGGAGAATTAAATGGGATATTGTGGTCTTAAACACGTCGATAAATTCGATCAAAATATTCCATGAATATTTCACGTAGGATATTATCCTCGTAATGGTTTATTTGGAGATAATTTTTTTAATAGATATTCGAAGGAATAAATATATATATGGAAATATATAATATATATTTGGCGATATATCCAAATTTCCATTATGAATTTTCGTGTATTTAATTCTCGAGATGGAAAATTTAATATTTCATTCTTCCTGAATGGGATTATATGTGTAATTCGTATATATATTTTCTCATTTGCAAGAATACGTGTTTTATTTATTTATTTTTTTGCAACAATGTTAATTATACCAATTGTATTTAGAGCAAAAGTAAACGGGAAAAAATGAAAAGAATTTGATGATATTTCGTTTAATCCTTAATTTGTGACACGCTTGTATGTTCTTTAATTGTTTCAAATTCAATACTGTGGCAATTTTTGACAATTGATTTAGCATATGAAAGCGAATATTTAATGACGATGTACATATGCAATTATATATGGAATTTTTTTTATTAGCTCATTAAACGATATTGTTTTTTTTATTAATGATAAAAATAAAATACAGTAATTGAAAAAGGAAAACAATTATCAACATGTGATCAGATTGTTTATTGAAATTTCAATTTTAATAGTATTCATTTTTCAAAAGATAACATTTTTTTGTTCATGAATGGAATAAGTATTATTTTATTTAAAATGGAACACATATTAAATACATTAAATATATTTAAATTCAATTGTTTAATCTTCTAGTTTGTGTGTACATTAAAAGAGATATAAAAGTTATAAAATATATAATAATTTTAGAAAATTCTTGAAAAAATATTGTGATAACATTAATTTTCTTTTAGTTATATTCAATAAATAACAATAAATTAAAACTATAGAATAGTAAGAAAAGAGCAAATATTTATAATAGAATAGAATAGAAATTTTCATATCAATTATTAAATTTGTTCAAAAATTTTTAACATGCTCTGAATTAAATACATATTATCTTACATATTATCTACATACATAGAAATATAGAATAGCTTATATTTTCAAGATTATTCAATAAAATATAAAGAATATTTTATATAACAGAGACCCAGTTTGAATAGGTATTATTCAAAAAGCTAGAAAGATTTCATTAGAACTTTGATATTCCATGTCACTAATTAAGGATCGAACGATTTCTATGGAATTTAACAGTGATAACTGCTGTTACGTACGCACGATTTCATCCAACCAGTGATTATTAGCCAATATTACAAAAATTTTATTCGCATTCCAACGTGATTCAATAATTTCTTTCTTTAAATTGTTCAGAATAATATTTTTACGAACTCATTGAGTCATAACTTTGATTTGAAACGAGTCGTCCGATTAAATTGCTTACTTTTAATCCATATATCTCACAGAATAATTAATCTTTGTCTCAATTTAATAATTCTTAAATTTCAATTTCAATTTCTCAAAATTCTAACTCAAAAAACATTACGTATTTTAAAATCAACATAACATAAACCATTTCACCTATGATCTCAATGATATAACTCGAACGTTTCCTAATTTGAATATTTCACTGATAATCACTTATTAAATAAATTCATCGTATCTGAGGGAAGAAGCAAAAATACTCTTCGTGTTTCTTCGGAATTTTTACGGGAAAAATCAGTTAGCTGCCTTTCGTATTTTTTCGACGTCGATGGCATGTTAGATACGAGGTTCTCTCGTAAAATGGCGATATCTATGGGAAGGCCGAGGTTCCATCGATATTTTCAGCCGCCTTATGCTCGACCACGATCTCCGTTAACTCCCATCGGGGGCGTCGCGTGATTTCAATTTTGGATCCCGGCTGCATCCCGCGAATTGCGGCGGGGAAAATCTGCACAATACATTGTGCATTATATACGCGGCCATGGTGAAGTTGGACCGCTGCCTATCTATCCTTGATGAGGTTGCAACAATTGACTTTGAGATATTCCTTCTGGGATCGGCGGATGACTTTGTGGCCCGGCCACATGTGGACACATGGTTAATTATTATTAGACTGTTTGGAAATAAATTGCGGTTTCCGAGCATGAAGTCTCAAAATCATCTTATTCGACAGGAACAGAATTTATCAAGAGTTTTATTAATTCTTTTTTTTATATAGATGTTATTCGAAAGGAATAAATTCGAATAAGGAAATAAAATTAAAAAATTAGAATTTATTTCTTGGTAAGTTATCTATTGAGTACTTACAAAAGTAAATTTCTTATTAAAATATTGACAAAGTCATTTATTGTATTTTATGGATCAAGAAATATGTTTATATTTTTCATAATGTAAGTTTTGAATTAGCATATAAGAATTCATACAAATAATATTCATGTTTTTATAATTATTTAGATTGTGTTATTGTTTAAGTATGCATATTATAATTTTGTAAAATTTTCTTGCTAAAATAAGCGACAATCCTCTGGAGTTCTGGGTGAAAATGAATAAAATTCATACTGCAGTCAAGGTGTTGAGTTATGTAGAGATTTACAAATACTGTCTCTAAACTGTTTGCATATAAAGTCTGTGGATGACAGTCTAGGTACAATCCAGGAATTCTATAAGATATGGTATACAATGTACAAAACAGAAAATTTGCATATAATATCTACAAACAATTTCTACACTCATATTTTAATATCTATTTTAATTTAATTTAATTTAATAATAATTAATCTCATTTTATTATCTAACTTGTGTAAAGCTTATCTTATTGTTACATATAAATCATGATCAATATTTATTTTCATTTATCATCATCAAAGATTAATATTTTGTAACTATTAGATGATAATATATATTTTTCATTTTAAAATTGTTTCATTATAATGAATTATAAGTTTTCAAGGAATAAATTAATTTAATCAAAAAATATTATATAATTAAATATTTCACTGGAAAAATTTAATATGCAATGGAAACCGCAATTTATTGTATATAACTTATATAGTTTCGTATAAAATATGCTCTAAACATATATTAAAATGTATATTGTCTCATGAAAACGAAACTGTATTTGCATAAAAGAATATGAAGAGTTCAGAATATCATATTTTCCTTATTATTAGTATTACAGTTTCGGTATTATAGTCCATTTAAAGTCTATGGTTTATATTAAATACCATAATGTTTCAAATAACTATATAAAATAAAGTCTGAGAAATAAAAAAATACAAATTAAGGAAAAAAATGGGGGAACAAAAATAATTTAAAAAGAGAAATAATCTCTCAAAATTCATTTTTAGTTTAGAAACCATAATTATTGTTTCATCAAAGCAATAACTTAATACTATTACTTTTTGAAATTTGTTAATAAAAACATATTTATCGAATCTTGTAAACGTTTCATCATAAATTAATCGACACAATGGAAATTCCCTAATCTCTTTTAAAAAAGAAATACTTGTTTTTCGAATAACGAATCCTTGAAATTTATATTGGTCATGCAAGTTTTGGAGATTTCAAGATCTCAAATGATTTCTATTAATCAAAAACTAATTATAGAAAGTATTTATATCTATGAAATTATCTAATAAGTGTGCCAATCTATGAATATGCTCAAACAAATGGAAGTGGATGAAAAAGAAAGATTGTTTTTTCATACATCTTTTGGAATAAATTTAATCATAATAGTTTTTCAAAAATACAAATATTGATATTATATATTTTTCTTCTATAATAAGATATTATTAAAAAAAGATATTATTAAAGTAATAAATATTTTATTTTTA